TCACGGGATCCTGCTGGAGGTTCTCTGGGAGACCCTGGTTGCAGGTTGGTGGTCGTGCCCAGCTGGCCAGGACACGGGATGCGGGGCCTCTCAGTGCCTTGTTGCCAGCCTGACCTTGGATTCCTGAAAGGACACTGGGCACAGTGGTGGGGGGTGAAAGAGGAAGGGTCAAGGCACACTTTTCAGGCAGCATCTTGATGCCCACAAGGCAGACGATGGGTGGCTGTGACAAAGGGATTTGTAGAGAACCCACCAACCTCCTGCCTGATAGCCCCTTATCCTCTGCAAAGGATACAAATGAATCCAGTGCAACATATATTTACTCCGTACACTCCAGACTAGTCACTGTATGAGATGCTGGGGTGGGGGTACAAAGATGACCAGAGAATGACCAGAGAAAATTCCAGCTCCTGAGGGGCTCACGATCTGACACACACACAACTAACGCTATCACCCACCAGTGGTAAGCCCTCTGTGTTTCAGGACTCTGGGACACAGAAAACGGTAACTTGGAGAACTGCAGAAGGCTTCATGGAGGAGGGGGACATAAGAGTTGGGCTTCAAAGGATCAATAGGAGCTCCCAGGCAGAGAAATGAGGAAGAGCATTTCAGATAAGGAACAGGATGTGTCATAAAAATGTGTGGGCAGGGGCATCTGGATGACTCAGTTAAGTGACCAACTCTTGATTTCAGCTCAGGTTATGCTCTTGGGGTTAGGGTTAGGGGTGAGACTGAGCCCTGAGTCAGGCTCCACACTCAGCGGGGAGTCTGCTTGAGCTTCCCTCTCTCCCTCTGCCCTTCCTCCCCCTCTAAAGTAAATAAATAAATCTCAACCAAAAAAAATGTGTGGGCAATAAGAATAAGGTAGAAGCCCCCTGTGGCAGGGACCCGGGGAGGGAGAGGGATGAAGCTGGAAGGTGGGCTGAGATCAGATGGGGAATGGGGTTTACCTTCCAGGCTGAAGGGTATGGACTTTCTCCTGTAGGTAATGGGAAGCTATTGAATGTTTTTGAGCTGAGGCATGACATAATCAGCCACCCTGGTGAGGATTTTAAGTGCCCACAGAGGGACAAAGAGGACTCTGCTGTTTCTGCCTCTGCTCTTCTCCATGGCTGCCGGCCCGCCAGTGCTTTCTCCCAGCTCCCGCTCACTGTCCCTGCTCCCTTTTCTCCAAACCTCCAACTCATTGTTCCAAGCAGGCTGACGGGGCAGAGCCCATCACCGTCCCTCAGCTCTCACCCAAGCTCTGCAGGTCCCAGACATCCTGCTGGGCCAGGGTGGGGGAGGGCGGCAGGGTGTGTGTCTGTGTGTGTGTGTGTATGTGTGTGTGTGTGAATGTCAGGGAAGCTGGGCTCACTTCCTTCATGGATCTTTGGGTTTCAAGGCCTCTGTTGTGTCTGCCCAGCTGACCCAGGCTTCTGCCCTCACTGCTACCCTCCCCAACTGAGGAGCTTCTGGAAGCCTTGATTCCAGGGAAACGATTTTCTAAATCACTCAGCCGTGGCTTATCCACCTTTCTCAGAGAAAGGTGCCTGGCGGAGTGCGTGGCATTGAAGAGATTGCCCCTGCCCTCCAGGAGCCTACTGACTGGTGGGAAAGATAAGAAAACAATTCCATGGAAACGGGGCATGTGGCAATTAGTACTTGGGAAGTTCTGAGGTGCAAGCCAGTGATGTGCTAATAAGGGAAGAGCTCATTAGAGAAAGCAGGCTTTGAGCCAGGAGCTGGAAGGCTGATATGCTTTCCTGGGGCAGAGATAGGGCAGCAGGGGCGAAAAGAGTTGGAGCAAAATCAGGAAGGCTGGACATGTTTGGTGGCTGGACACGTGGGGCTGGGCTGGAGGGTTTGTACAAGGACCAACGGAGGTGGAGATTGCAAAGGGGACAGAGGCCAAATAGGGGGTCTTCCCAGGTAGCACTGGGGAGCCACTGGAGGTGTTTGAGATGGAGAGGGCCAAGCCGGAGTGGCATTTCAGCATGATTCATCTGTTATTGGTTTAAAGGACAACATAGGTGGTTGGGCAAAAGTGGCAGAAACCCCATAGGAGACCTGAAAAATATTCCAGGGGAGAAGTAATTCCTGTCACCAAGTTGCCACTTCCCTAGAATTTTCACAGACCGGTGCCCACTTGCAATTCCTTCCTTCGTTCCTTCAGCACATATTTATTAAGCACTTACTAAGTACCAGGAGCCATTTTAGGCTCTTTCTTCATTCCCCCCTCTGTCTTGCTGACTTTCGGATGAGAAGACAAAGGTAAACTCTCACCCACGGCATCTGGGGGACCTCAGCCCAGCCTCCTCGTCTCTACTCAAACTAATCCAGTAGCTTTGGTCTTTGGAGCAGGTATATGGGGGAAAAAATGGGAGCCACATGCAGTGAGGGTTTGTGGGGTTGTGTGAGGTAAGAAAGTTTGAGTGGAGGAAGGTGAGCAGCTGGGGCAGCAGAAAGCTGTTGGAGAATGGGAAGAGCAAAGTTGGCCACGGAGTGTGGAGGAGATGGGGTGCCTGGAGGAAGGAGGCTGGTAAGGAGGAGAAAGATGGAGGACCAGAAGGAGGCAGGCCTCTGGGTGAGGATGGGGGCCGGAAGGGAGGGACAAACCCGAGAGCTGGAGGAGGAAGTATGGTCTTAGTTGCTAGAGGTGGGTGAGGGAGGAGGTGGGGGCTGGGAGGCGAGGGCAGAGGAAATGGGCCCAGGCACTGGAGACAAAAGTCTGGGAGTCTGAGCCTCTGAGGAGCCACCTGGAAGGTGCAGGCAGCGGCAACATCAAACTTGGGATCCAGGGTTGGCTCTGGGAATGACTGCAGTTGGGGGAGGGGGTGGCTCCAGGGGGACCTGAGAGCAGGAGAGGGGCCTGGATGCGCCATTAACCCCCGCTGGTCTTCGGCCTCCTCCAGCACTCCTCCCCTTCCGTCCCAAGCCCAGACGCCACTCCAGAGCCCCGCCCCCAGCACAGAGCTCCAGGCCCCCCTGTGCCCACCACTGGCAGTCCTACCTCATCTCTCCCTCCCACCCCTCATCGGTGGTGGGAAAGCACGTTGTTCGGTTGTTCCGGAGGTGCGAATAGATGAGGAAAGGGGGTCCCCTGCCAAATAGGGTCTGGGTCGTGTTAATAGCTCCTCTCTCAGCAAACCAGTCAGGGTCCCCATACACCCTTTACTGATCCAAAGGCTGGGGGAAGGGGTGTGGGCCAGCAGGTCCAGGCCAAGGACTGAGTCTTTTTCTCTCCCCCCAACTCCCCCCACCCCAAGATTCTCCCATCTTTTGGACTGGACCTGCTACCTAAGCATATGGAACCGATTGAAAGAATTTGTATGCTCACCTTATAATTTATGCAAATCAACTCTGTAATTAACTATAATTTGGAGGCATCCTTTGGTATTTGAGACATTTATCCATGAGGAAATGCCCTAGTGATAATGCTCCCGTATTAACATTATTTACTCCACCTGTGTGGTCTCCCCAACTTGGTCCCCCCCCACTCTGATTTTCTGGGCTGGAAGGTGGGGAGGGACAGGGAAGCCCCTCCCTGGAGCCTGCCACAGTCCTGACGCCTGGGTCTTCCGGGGGAAGTTGTGCTGGCCCTGTCCTCCCCACTTGGCCCAGGGCTGAAGGAAGGGGTGCAGCTCTGCCTCCCAAGTCCCCCGCCACCGCTCTACTCTCTCCCGCCTGATGGGTAGCTCTCTGCTGAACTTTTTAGTGCTCTTCTGGGCTTCGGTGTTCTCATCTCTGAAATGGGGAGAGGAAGGACCTGTCAGGGCCTTTACAGGATAATTACTGAAAAGCTAATGAAGGGACTGGGAATCCCCAGTCTAGAGATTTCTGGGGGTGTAGGGGGAGGGACAAGAGTTCAGGATGAAGGCTCCCTGACTCACCCTGTGCTAGACTCCGTGGGGGGAGGTGGCACTTGAGGCCCGGGTCACTGGGTTGTGTGCAGGTGCAGAAGGGTATACGGCGGCGCCTGGCCTCAGTGCCAAGTGTGCTGGGCTATGGCTGAGCGTGAGATGTGACCCCTTGAAAAGTCTCCAGGCCACTCTCCGATGTGGGTCAGAGCTGCTAGCTTCAGAGAGCTCCGGGAAACTGGTCTTATTCTGTTTCATCTCCTTTCTCCTTCCTGGTCTGTTGTCCCCCTCCGCTCCAGGACATGCTCCTGTTAGCTGACAGGCCTAAACTTACAACCACCCTAAAATTAAGTTCATGTAAATAGTTGGGGATGTGGGGCCACCACCTAAATTCCCCTCCAGGCCCCATCTCCCTTTCCAGGCCGTATTCCCAGCATTTTCACTCTCCCGGAGTCCCAGGATTCCTGACCTGTCTGTAAAAGTTCTTGGCTGGGCTCCGCCTCTGGTCTTAGGTGACCTCTTCTTGTCCAACCCAAGCTGCCCCGCCCCCATCTGAAGTCGGGGAGACGGTCTTGGTCTTCCCACTCCATTTCACAGTGAGAGATCCCAGATGCAAAAAGTGGATTGTTTTGGATCCTGGGGGTTCCAAGCTGGAAAGTAACTGAAAAGGGGGTGAAGGAAAGGAGAAGAGAGGCCCCGGCGGAGGCAGGAGAGCCCCACTTGAACGGCCTTCTCTGATGGGGAGCCCTACAGGGAGGGATCGATCGGCAGGGAGGGATCGATCGGCTAGAAGGGGGTGTGTGTCTCAAATCTTAAAAGTGGTACTTCTTTCTTTCCCACCAAATCCACGGAGAAAACCTCAGAAGGAGGGCGATGGAATGTGGAGAGTTCCAGCCATCCCGAGATCTCTCCACTGGATCCTGTGAGAACCACTTTGTCTCTCTCCCACTGCCATCCAACCTCGGGGGAGGGAAAGAGGGAAGGAAGTCCTGTTCCTCCATTCCCCACCCCCAGCTGCCTCTTCTAGCTGAAATCCTCCTTTCCTGACAGACCTCAGAGACTCAGATCTCACCCCCTACCACTCCCCCAGGAGAGCCGGGGGCCACTGTTTCCTGGATTATCCTAAAAGCTTCCGAGAGGCCGTGAGGACTTGGCAACAGCCCTGCCCGCGACTCTCACCTCCTCCCTCTGGCTCTGGCTGTCGCCTCCTTTATAAAGCCTAGCTCTCCCATCACCCCCACTTGCCCCTCACTGCCGCTGCCAGCTCTGGGCTCCATGGACTGGTAAGAGGGGCCATTCCCTGTCCAGTTCAGGGGGCGAGAGGATCAAGTCTCCACTCTAGAGGGATCATTGAAAAGGGTTTGGAAGGCTTGATTCTCTCTGTATCTGGGAGGAAGAGATAAGAGGGAGATCCTGGGGGGCTCTATATGGAGAACCAAGGAGGATTCCTTTGGAGGTCTTTGGACTGGGCCAGGCTGAGATCTGGGGGAGAAGTGGAGTGGTCATTAACTGACGGCCAGGGGCTTCACTCTGAGAGAAAAGATGGGCAGATATTAATAGACGCACAGGGCACACAATGGCCACATGGAAGTTCATGCGTGTGATAGAACACCTGCAGAAGTGGTAAAGGAGAAACCTCTGTGCATATCTCATGGGGAACTCCCTTTATGATGGAGGAGAGGGGACAGACACCCCACCTCCAAGCCTCTGGTACATACAGGCATGATGGGTACACATAGGAAAGTGCAGACACACACACACACACACACACACACACACACACACACACCCCAGCATACAGATGCACTATCCTCAGCTGGCTTCATCTTTTAGACTGAAAACAGATGTGGACACTAGTGATATTTGGATAATATTGAATTTGGATAATAGAATTAGTGTCCAGTGTAGTGCCCGGCCCTAGGTAAACCCTCAGTAAGTGTTGGCTGAATGAATACAGATGCACGAAAGAAAACCATTTTGGCCCCAGCTCTGGATTCTGTCCAGTTTCCTAGGAACATGGGAGGGCAGGGTGGGAAGAGGGAAGGAAAAGAGGAATGTGTTGGTGTCCAGGATCATTAGTTTGCAGGTTTCCAAGTGCAGCCTGAAGGTGGGGGTGGGAAGTGGAGAAGAAGAGTGAACAACCAGGAATTAGGAGACTGGGGTTCTGGACCCTGCTCTGCTTCTAACTTTCCGATGACTTTGAGCTACTTGCCTCCCTGTTCTGGGGTTCGGTTTTCCTACCAGTAAAGTGAGGACTTGCACTAGACCATTTTTATAGGCAGACCAGCTTTGATATTTTCCTAGTGCAGTCTCCATAGAAGGACAACTGAGGTTTAGAAAGGGCCACAGATAGAGCTGTGACTTGTCCCAGCAATCCAAGATGGGACCAGTTTGTCCTATTAAAGGCAGGATCATGGATGGCTTTGATCTGGACATCAGCTGAAGAATGCTATCCTCTGTACCTTCAGCATTTAGGGGAGCCGGACTCCCGGGGCCCAGCACTGCTGCCCTAGCGAGGCCAGATGGAGTAGCAGACAGAACAGGGCTTTGGACCCTGACAGATCTGGACTTAGTTTCCTTCTCTGTCTCATTTAATAGCTCTGTAATCTTGAGCAGGTCATTGAACTTCTTTGATCCTTGGCAGAATTCCTCATCTATACAATGGGAATAATAATAACAACTTTGCTGCATGCCCATGAGAATTCGAGATATATTTTTTTAAGATTTTTTTTAAAGATTTTATTTATTTATTTGACAGAGAGAGAGAGAGATAGCGAGATCAGGAACACAAGCAGGGGGAGTGGGAGAGGGAGAAGCAGGCTTCCTGCCAAACAGGGAGCCCGATGTGGGACTCGATCCCAGGACCCTGGGATCACGACCTGAGCCGAAGGCAGACGCTTAACGACCGAGCCACCCAGGCGCGTTTAAGATTTTATTTGACAGAGAGAGACAGTAAGAGAGGGAACATAAGCATGGGGAGTGGGAGAGGGAGAAGCAGGCTTCCTGCTGAGCAGGGAGCCCGATGCGGGGCTCAATCCCAGCACCCTGGGATCATGACCCAAGCCGAAGGCAGATATCCAACAACTGAGCCAGCCAGGCGCCCCCAAAACAGATATCATTTTTAGAAATTTTATTTATTTATTTCAGACAGAGAGAGCGAGAGCACAAGCAGGGGGAGAGGCAGAGGGAAAGGGAGAAGCAGGCTCCTGGCTGAGCAGAGAGCCTGATGCAGACTCGACCCCAGGACCCTGGGATCATGACCTGAGCCAAAGGCAGATGCCTAATGACTGAGCCACTCAGGTGCCCCTCAAGATATTTGTGTTAAGTGCCTGGAACATAGTAGATGCTCAGTAAATAAATGGTGGTCATGAGTAGGAGACTAACCTGCTCCAGGTGCAGAATGATTGCTGAGTATAAATGAGGTGTGAGAAGAGGGGTGGCGGGATTGGACACTTGTGGCAAAATCTATTTACCCCTTTGGGGAAATGAGGGAGAAAGACCAGAAATGGTCCAAGTCCTGGGCAAAATCTCAGTTTGTGTGGGAGATGAGGTGGGCAGCATTGCTCAATTTTGAGAAGACATAAGAACACTGGGCAGTGGTGATATTGGCAGTCGAGTCAACATCAGACCAGGGGCACTGTTTAGTAGGAAACCATCTGGCAAGAGGGAAATTGGAAAGGACTGGAATCAGAGGAAGGCAAGTAGAGGGGGACCTGGAAGAAAGACAGTACCCCGAGTCAGAGGCAGAGTGCTAGGCACGACAGGAAAGCAGGATGGCTGAGTTTTCTGAGACAACTGTATTAGGAACCACAGGCAGATGGAGGGTCTTTGCTCCTGGGAACCCTAGGTGGCTGCCAGTCAGGGCGGGGTGGGGTTAAAGGGGGCCTAGGATAAAAGCAGGGTGGGGGGCGCCTGGGTGGCTCAGTTGGTTAAGCGACTGCCTTCGGCTCAGGTCATGATCCTGGAGTCCCGGGATTGAGTCCCACATTGGGCTCCCTGCTTGGCGGGGAGTCTGCTTCTCCCTCTGACCCTCCCCCCTCTCGTGCTCTCTGGCTCTCATTCTCTCTCTCTCAAATAAATAAATAAAATCTTAAAAAAAAAGAAAAAAGCAGGGTGGGAAGTCTACCATCCGGGGGCTGGACCCTTCTCCCTGTTGCTTTCCAGGGAAAGACAGAAGGAGCCAGGAAGATAAGATAATCTGGTGCCTAGAAAAAAAAATGGGAGGGGGAACTCAGATCCCTGCTTAGATCCCTTAAAAGCAGTAGCTTCAGGAATAGCCAGAGGCCAGTGGGCTGCAGGGAGTAAGGAGGCAGAGAATGCCTACGGGTCAAATCAGACTTAACACAGGGGCCTGAGTCACAGGCTCTGTTCTGGACATGGCTGTGAACAGAGATAAAACCATGTTGATAGAGAGCTGTCAGTGTGGCAGTGGCCACAAAGATCCAGAGCAGTGCTTGAGAACCTACATCGCCGGGGTCTGAGTGTCCGGAAGAAGGAAATGCCACTGATCAGAGAGTACAGTCCTGGACATTGCCACAGCTCCTCCAGGCTGCCCAAGTGCCTTTTACCCTGCAGGGCAACTGCTCTAACTGGTTGCTAACCCAGGGGGAAACTGAGGTTCAGGGCAACCTGACCCACCAGATCAGCTGGCAAGTCCAGGGTCGGGGCGAGAATTTAGGTCCACCAACTTCCAGTCCAAAGATCTTGTGAATATACCCTAATCCAATAAACATTTGCTGGGAACCCCACTTATTTAATAATTATAACAACATCTTCCCTTTACTGTGAGCTTACCGGGGGACCCGGGGGCTAAGTATTTTAGGTACAGCAATTACTTTAAGCCCCGGGAATGTCTCCCAACTTGAACTCTGGTGGCCCAGATGAAGAAATTGAGTCTTAGAAAAGAGGGAGATGAACGGACGAATCAGACATTGACTCTGGATATAAGACCGTGTGTGTTTGGTGGTGGTGGTGGTGGTGGGGAACCATGCAGGCAAAGGCTGCTTTTCAAAGGACTTGTGGATTCAGTTTAGTCGTTTTGTAGTGGCACTTCGAGTACGTCCCCAACGGAAATTCGAGCCGTGTAAAGCAATGGTGGTGGAAATCGCGGTGTGGAGGTGAGATTGAATCATCCTAAATTCTGGTCCTGCTGTGCGTGATAGACTGTCAAGACAAAAAACGAAATTTAAAAAGCCGATGGCAGAGCGCGTAGGGAAAGCCAAACAGCGCAAAGAAAAAAAAAAATATGGAAATCGATCAGAATTCCCTTGCAAGAAAGGAGTCACTTCGGGAGGTCGGCGCGGCGGGGAGGAGGCACCGATCCGGAAGGGAGCATCGGACTCCCCAGGCGCACAGGCCAGGCGGGCGAGGAGGAGGAGGAGCTCCTCTCGCCACCCGCGCTTGATATGTCCACCAATTGGGACCTGGAGAGAAGTTTTTCGGTGGGCGCCGTGAGCGCCCTGAAATTTTGCCAGAATGGTGCATTGTGTATGTGCATTTGTTTTCCTTAAAGGAATCCCAGATTCTTCCCCAAACTTAAGAACCTTGGGTTTGGACATTCAGGTGAGAATCGTGGCCAGTAGGTCGATCAATTCTTTCCAGAAGTGTCCCTTCCCAGGGCCATTCAGGCGCCTGCCCCAACTTTCAGAGCCGGCTGCGCAGGAGGGGGCAAAGGTGGAGGGCGTACGGAGGCTGAGCAGCTCCCGGACCCAGGGGGTAGCGTATTTGAGAGATGGACTTAGGACGCGCTGGGGTTGCTGCCCAAGGGGAGATGGGGAGTGAGACCTGAGGGGGGCCTGGGAGACGAACAGGGGCAGGCAGGGGGAAACAGGGCAAGTGGAGGAGCAGGGGAGTGGGCAGAGGAGAAGAGCCCACCCGAAAAAGGCGAGTGACCGGAGAGGAAGAGGCAGAAAGCCGGGGCGAAAAGGCCGGGGGAGGATGGTGGTGGCGGAGAGAAGCGGCGCGGGGGGAATGGTGAAAGAGGGCGGCAGCCCAGACAAAGTTCTCACGGCCTAGGCCTGCGGTAGACCGGACACATCCTTGGCGCTCAGTCCTGTTTCCTTTTCCTCTCGGTACCGGGGGCAGCGCCGCGCGGCCGGGCGGGTGGGTCGAGCGCGGAGGAAGCAATCGGCGCCCAAGGGACGCTCCTAATCGCCCCGAGGACCCGCCCCCCTTCTCCAGGCCCCCAGGGTCTGAGTCCCGCGTCCCCCGCCAGACCCAGCCGGCTCCCGGGCAGTTTTGCACCCGAGGGGCGGGTCTCAGAGCCTGGGAAACGCTCCGCCCAGGACCCCCGCCCGAGGAGCTGAGGGGCCGGGTGGGGGGGAGAGGGAGGGGAGGGAGGGGAGGGAGGCGACCTAGTTAGCGAGCCCGCCCCCTCTCCGCCGGCCCGGCTGCGCGGACCTCCCGTCCGGCCGAGCCCGCAAGGGTTAAAGGCGGCGGCAGGTGAGGTGGGCGGGGCCGCGGACTCGGGGAAAAAGGAGCGCAGGGCAGAGGATGAAGGCAGAGAGCGCGGGTGAGTCACGGGCGGAGCTGGCCTCGCTCACTCGCTCGCTCGCTCGCTCCCTGGCTCCCGCCCGCCCTCCGCCCTCCCGCCGGCCCTCCGCCCCTCCTCCGCCGCCCGCCGCCGGGTCTGGTCGCGGCCCCCGCTCGTCTTCGGCTCCTGCCCCTCGCCGCTGGAGAGCCTGCCGGCGCGCAGGGCCCATGAGCGCCCTTCGGTAGCGCGCCAGCCTGCAGTGCCCGGAGCCCGAGCGCAGCCTCGAGGTAGGAGCCAGGGTCGGGGCGGCGAGGGGTGCGCGCTCCGGGGATCCTCTCGGAAAGACGCGACCGAAACTCGCCGCAGCCTCCGGTGGCCTTGGGGGAGGTGGTCCTAAAGAATCCGAGGGGCTTAGAGTCCCGGCCGAGCGACAACTGGGCGGACGGGCGAGACGAGGGACCGAGGAGGCTGAAAACCGGGGAAACTGGAGCGACTGGGACAACCGGAGGACTGGAACCTTGAGGACTGGGAGTACGGAAGTCCTGACCACCTGAGCGCCGGTGATCGGGAGAGGGAGACGGCGGAAGGGGGTTAGAAGTGTGTCTCTACCCGGCTACCTGCGTTGGGAGCGGGCAGCCGAGAGTGTGCGCCCGGCTGTCTCCCTTCCCGAAACCTTGCAGGCAGGCCATTGCATCCCCCTGGCTCTGCATCGGGAGAGGCCACTCTGGAGCCTGGGTCGTTAGCCTTCCCAACCCCTAGTCCCTGGGGCAGTTCCCAGACACTAAAAGCTGTTAGGGTCCCAGGCCTCACTGCTACCGCCCAGCCCCTTCTCGGCCGCCCCGCCTGGGCCTGAGGCTCCATTCCTGCTGCTTCACCCTGTTCCTTTCTTGTGGTAAGGCAGCCGGAGCCTGAGTAGGCGCCCCAGTTCCCCTCACCCCGCCCCCCCCAAACTACCAGGGCCAAAGGTGGTAGGGTCAGCCCTGCTGTGGGAAGTCCCTGACCTAAACCACTGCACCTCCTCCCCCACCATCAGAGAAGGCCAGGCACACAAACTCCGCACCTGAAGCACCAGGGCAGAGAAAGATAATGTGGTTAAGAACGGGGTGGGTGTCTTTAGGTTGCTGACAGTTTAGGGAAAGGGTAACAGACAGGGAGTCCGGAGACCTGGTTCAGAGAGGTACATACAGTACATATCGGTTGATTGAACAAGTAAATGAATGTTTGTTCAAGTCACTTCTCCAAATACTGCCTCAGTTTCCTTTTTTTTAAAATAAGAGGGTTGGCCTGAAGCAGTGGTTCTCAACACTTGGCTGCATATGGGAACCATCCACAGAACTCCTAAAAATGACCCGTGCCTAGAACGCACCCCCTTCTATAATCTCTTGGGGTAATTCGTAGTTTCTGTGATTCTGGTTTTTCTTGTTGCCCTTCGCTGTCCCCACTTTGACTCTGTATCCTTTAACGGGGTGACAATTTTACCTTCCTGAGCTGGTTAGTAAGCTCTTCTCTGGCTAGCCCCCTTCTCGGGGGAAGCTGACCCCCTCTCAGCTTCACATCTGAGTCTCCCCTAGATTGGAGGAGGGCATGGGTAGCAGCCAGACAGCCGGCTGGCGCCTGTGTGGGTCAGGACAGGAGAAGAGGCTTAACTTTCTCTGGGAACTGGCACTGTGGCTGCCCCCCAGGGAGATGAAGTCCCTGCCTGAGGGGAAGGGGTGGGGGCCAGGCATGGGTTTGGTGGGGCCCTGGCAAGCCGGGCAGGCAGAGAGCTGAGGCGAATGGTACAGAACAGTGAAATGCTCTTCCTCACTGAACATGCCTCAGGGACGGAATGAGGTCTCTTTCTCCAATATCTCAGAACTTGCTTTGGGCTTTGGAAAGTCAGGTCACCTCAAGCTTTGAGTTCCAGAAACAGACCACCACCCTCTCCTCATCTGTGTCCTGAGTTAAACTAGGGAAGCAGAGATGGGTCTAGGCCCTCCATTGGGGTTGGTGGCCCAGTCTGCAGGGGGTAAATGCCACCGCTCTTCGCGCTGGCCTGGGCACCCGGGGTGGGGATGGTTCTAGCACTGTACTGTAGGTGTATGTGACCCACCAGCCTGGGACCAGCCCAACTCTCGGGATGAGCTGGGTCCCGTAGGAGGGATCAGCTAGGAGAAGGTCGACTTCCCCCCTTGGCTGAGACCCTCACACTCTCAACCCTTCCTAGCACTCCCAAATTCTGTTTACTGGTCTTTAGTCCCCACTCAGAGGTGTGTTCCTCTTTTTCACCAGCTGGCCAGCTGGAGAGGAGCACTTCGAGGGGATCTGGGTCAGGACTAAAAGTGAGTTGGTTACTTTACTCATTTCACCTCTTCTTTGCCTCCTTTAGGTCCCACCTGAGGTGCCCCTGACCATCCCTGATCCCCACCCCACCCCGGATCCCGGCAATGCTAACCGCTGTCTGCGGCTCTCTGGGCAGCCAGCACACGGACGCGCCTCACGCCTCCCCGCCGCGCCTCGACCTGCAGCCTCTCCAAACATACCAGGGCCACACGAGCCCGGAGGCCGGGGACTACCCCTCCCCGCTGCAGCCTGGAGAGCTGCAGAGCCTCCCGCTGGGCCCTGAGGTGGACTTCTCACAGGGCTATGAGCTGCCGGGGGCCTCCTCTCGGGTAACCTGCGAGGACCTGGAAAGCGACAGTCCCTTGGCCCCGGGACCCTTTTCCAAGCTCCTGCAGCCGGACATGTCACACCATTACGAATCGTGGTTCCGGCCAACTCACCCAGGCACTGAGGATGGCTCGTGGTGGGACCTTCATCCGGGCGCCAGCTGGATGGACCTCCCCCACACTCAGGGCGCGCTGACCTCACCCGGCCACCCCGGGGCGCTTCAGGCTGGCTTGGGGGGCTACGTCGGAGACCACCAGCTTTGTGCCCCGCCGCCCCACGCACACCCGCACCACCTCCTCCCGGCCGCGGGAGGGCAGCACCTCCTGGGGCCTCCCGACGGGGCTAAGGCCTTGGAAGCGGCCGCCCCGGAGTCCCAGGGGCTGGATTCCAGTCTGGACGGGGCAGCCCGGCCCAAAGGCTCCCGGCGGTCAGTGCCCCGCAGCTCTGGCCAGACCGTCTGCCGCTGCCCCAATTGCCTGGAGGCGGAGCGACTGGGGGCTCCGTGCGGGCCCGACGGGGGCAAGAAGAAGCATTTGCACAATTGCCACATCCCGGGCTGCGGGAAAGCCTACGCCAAGACGTCGCACCTGAAGGCGCACCTGCGCTGGCACAGCGGCGACCGCCCCTTCGTGTGCAACTGGCTCTTCTGCGGCAAGCGCTTCACGCGCTCCGACGAGCTGCAGCGCCACCTCCAGACCCACACGGGCACCAAGAAGTTCCCCTGTGCAGTCTGCAGCCGCGTCTTCATGCGCAGCGACCACCTGGCCAAACACATGAAAACCCACGAGGGCGCCAAAGAGGAGGCTGCCGGGGCGGCCCCAGGCGAGGGCAAGGCCGGCGGAGCGGTGGAGCCCCCCGGGGGCAAAGGCAAGAGGGAGGCCGAGGGCGGCGCGGCTCCCTCCAACTGAGCTGCTCCGGTACCGCCCCCCACGCTGGTCTCCCCTGGGGGCGTCAGAAGAGATTTCCCCGGCCCCCCCTCCCCCCGGCCTGACGCCCTTGGGAGGTGACTTGAGTCAGAGGAGAAGGTGGTTATTTATTGAGGGGGAGGAAAAGTGGTGCGGGGTCAGGGGGACCGGGCGCTAGGGTTTTCTGTAGTCTCTGAGGCTGGACAAGACGTGTTTGGCTGGGCTGGGAGGAGCTGCGCATGCCCCTCCGTCCTCCCCTTCCTCACTACTTCGCTCCTGTGTCCGGGCTGGGGGGGGGGTTGGGGTGGGGTACCCCTACCGCGGCTGGAGGGCGGAGGGGACCTGCTGGAAGAGACGGCGCGTCCCCGGAGCAGAGAGGAGTGGGGCCGCCGCGGGCGCTGGGGGTAGCTGTCCGGACACGTCCTTAGCGCTTGGGAACCGGGACATAAAAGCGCCTACGGACCCGCCCTGCGGCCCAGGTCCCTTTCATCCCCCTTATAGTGCTTCTGTCCTTATGGTTTCCCGAGGGAGAGCTGAGGTGGGGTAGGGGAGACAGGGGTCCCCCTTAGGGAGGGGTATCTATCTGGTTGGGAGGGTTGTTGCTGTAGAAATAACTCCTTTGATGTGCCTCCTGATTAACCCTTCCAAACCCACTCTGATGGAGCCATGAAGGAAGAGGGGAAGAGACCAGGATCGAGAGCAGTGGGGTGGAGGAGGGAGCTGGGCTGGGACGGGGAGGGCGGAAAGTCCCCTTCTAAAATGGGAGAAAGGGATTTGGTGGGGCAATGGAAGGAACCAACCCCTTACCTCTCTAACTCGGATTCAGTCCTTAACTCATGGTTTTTATGGGAAAAAAAGTTCAGTATAGTTCACATTCCCCATCTGTTACCTGATCTAGGTTTTCAAGGCAACCGGAAGCCCCAGCCCCCACCCTAGAATTGATGTAGTTCCTCATCCTGGGTTCCTCCCCCCCCCCCATCATTTGCCTTCCCCTTAGGGATGGAAGGAAAAGGGTTACCTGGGTTGCCTGGGGAGTAGGTGGGGTGTCCCAACAGAGGGACCTCCAGTGGTCCCCACTCAGAGTAGAGGACTCTGCCCCTGCCCAGCCATCTTCTACTCACTGAGCTTAGGTCCACTCTTTTCTCTCCCCTCCCCTTTCTCTGCTGCCTGCAAGCCTTGCCCCTCCTGTAGAGTGTGTGTTAGGAGGCTCCTTTCTCCTCATCTCAATTCTGGGCAGGGGGACTCCCCTTCCATATGAAGGAGGTGTTCTCCCATTGGAAGGGGTCTGCCTTCTGAGGTGATGTCCAGGAAGCTGTCCTTGTCCCCTTCTTTAGATGCTAGAGATACATCCTGACTTTGATCTTGGAGTGGGGACTGGGGAGGGGAGAGCCTCGCAGGGGTGGAGCCAGGCAAAGGGAAGGAAGCTGATAGGGGTAAGGATCTGGAACTAGTACCCCTTCCAAAGCTAGAGGTAGAGGCCCTAAGATTCCCTCTGATCTCCCTTGACCCCTTGCCCCTCTTTCTCCACCCAGAGCCCTATGCAAGGATTAGTTGTGTATTGATTTTTAAGTTATAAGCAAAAGGTATTTTATTTAATATTAGGGCATGTGTGTATATGCATGTTGTTTGTACCTGTGTGTGTATGTGTGTGTGTTTCTCTACTGAGCCTGGGGTCTCCAGCTAGAGAGACCCCACCTTATTCACCCCGTCCAAAGTCCTAGGGCTTAGGCCCACAGCATCTCTCCCTCCCTTGGGGATGCTGGAGCCCAGTCCCAGGACTGGGAGCTAAATGGGAAGTGGGTCTGGGGTCTGGTTAGGAATATGCGTTTGCATAGAAGGGAGCCCTTCTTAGAAGGGACAGGGTGACTCTCCCTGAGAGACTCATGGGCCTGGGGTAGTTTAAGAAGTAATGTTCTTTCTTTTTGCTCCCTCTTTTCCCTACCTCTTGCTACCCCAACCAGAGGTGCCTTTCCTTGTCGAGAGGGTTGGAGGCAGGAGAGAGTTGGCAGTACCTGCAGGTTGCCTGGCCAGGTGGAGACGGGGAGAGAGGGAGGGCCCTGTGGGTGTGGGATGCCTTTCTCCTCCACCCATCGAAACCAGCCACCCCCTCCCTGTGCCACCAGGACCGCCTTCCCCAGTGACCATTGTAAGGGGAACTCCCGAATGGGTGTTAGGGCGGCAGGGGGGACACTGATGTTCCCCCTATGGAGGCCTTGAGCTCTAAGGGTGCGGGTGAGGGCTTTGGATGGGTTTTCTTCTGCTCCCCTCCTTTATAGATCTAGGTTGCTTGGCTGTCTACCCCCTTGTAGGCAGCCCCCTAGAGGAGAAATGTAGGATTTTTTTTTCCTTTAACTGCTGTGAACCCACTTTGGGGGGGGGAGGAGGAGGAAGAAACAGCCTGTGTTTTTTATGCCATAATAAAGTCATCAACCACATCATTGCTTCATTTGTCTTCCAGCTCTGTTTTCATTTTGGACTCAGTGTCCCTCAGCAGTGAGGACCAGGCCGGCCGCAGGGCGGGGTGGACACTTCCTTTGATCCAGCACCCCTGCTGCAGCCTCTCCTCCCTTTGTTTGGGGCAGAGCCGAGCTGATGGAAGGGTCAGATCCTTCCCCAGGAGGTGGCTGGTGCTGGAGGAGGGAGGAGCTCCCTCAGGGTTGATAGCTGGCCTAACTGTCCCTCCCTGGGGATGAGAAGGTTCTAGATATTTCCTGCCTCCTCCACATATAAGCCCCCTCTTTCCCCTCCCCTTCCAAGAACGCCGGTTGCCTGCCTTGCCAGAGAGAACCAGCCTCCTGGCTCGGTCACCCCGCCCCCATGGGGGTGTGATCGGTCCCTCTGGCTGTGAGCGAGGCGGGGGTGACTGACAGCGATTTCTTCACCCAGGATGATCCCTATCAGGGACAAGGCGATGAAAGGCAGCCAAGATATCTGATGGGCTCCCGCCCAGCTGGAAAGTATGAGGGAAGGATCCTACTGCAACTCCCAGCTAGAGGGCCCGCCACAGTTACACAAACACAGTGCGCACCAGCGCACCCTCACTGGACCCACCGGGCGGCCTGGGATGTGCAGAAACGCCCATCTGTACATACTCTCCCGGGCTGCCCAATGCCTGCTATGCAGGTGCCTAATTCAGGTGAAATGAGTAAAAAAATCTCGTGAGTCCAGAGGCCAAAGCTAGGAAGGTTGACCGCAGAGCAGTTTCGGGCTCCAAAGGGGCAGGCTAGAGTATTGTGTTCTTTCACCTTCCCAGCCTACATTTTGGCCACAGTTATCTTCCCTAGTGGGATTCCTGTTTCCCCCACTCCACCCCTAACCCAATCGCCTGGAGCCAAATCTGGTACCCACACTGGCTCATCACATCACCTGTTTGGGAGAATCTGGGGTCACAAAGTTTAAGGCCACTTTGGGATGGGAGGGTATCAGCATGATTTAGGGGTTACAGATGGAAGCAGACTGGTTTTGGGGGAGTAGCTTTTTGCTTTCTCTTGCTCCTGGATTTAGAAGCCCGAGAGGAGGAGGGGCAGGCCTATGTTCCCGTGACCTCTTGCCGGCCCCACTCTGTGGGGTGCCTCTTTTGTCTTCTTGGTTCTGCGGAACTTAGACCCCAGGAACCTGGGGAGCCCTTTCCTCCTGTAGCCCATCGCTGCCCCCAGGGACAGGAGGGCAGCTGTGGCGCTGGCTGGGCCTGTCTGGGCAGGGCTGGGGCCACCCCTCCTCCCCTTGCAGCTCCTCCTGCTGACCTGCATTCTTAGCGGGGGCCTTTGGTGGGGCTCTGATGTTTGCTCACTGGCCCGCATTGGCAGCAATGCTGCTCGGCTGGCCTGACCCCCCCCACCCCCAGGGAGCCCAAGGCCACCACTGACCCCTCAGATCTGGCGCCCCCAGGCTGAGACGACCCTGGAGGGGCCAGGGAGGAATTAGGGAAATCAGGCCACGTGGGCTCACCCTTTGGACAACCTCTCTGAGCGGCCACCTCCTCTCTCGGGAGGTGGGAGTACGGCCCTCGAGGGTTGGTGAGTGAAATCAGGAATGGGAAAGTGACGGAGGAGCAGGCCGCCTGGGAACTGCAGCCTGGGGCGGCGCTGTGGCCCGCAGACACACGCTGCTCCTCCGGCCGGTCCCTGCCCCATCTCGGGCGGCCGGTGATGTGCAGGAGGGGGGCTGGCCGGGCTGCCCGCTGCCCCGGGTGCTCACATTCATCAGCACACAGCCTTGACGTTTGCTTCTGAAATGACCTCCGACAGCAACCTCACGACACCTCCCCGTCGACAGCACATCTGAAGCAGCCTTCACTTTCCTTTAACTCTGGAGAGTTCGACAGCTCCACGTCCTAGCAGTGCGGGTTTGAAAAGCGTCTCAGGAACCAAACAGTCTGGCTGTCTTCACCCTGTAGAGGGCGTATTCGAGTCACCCATGGAGTTTCTCAAGACACCGATTAACTCTCCAGCACCCCAACAAGTGATGTCCTTGGGGGAGTATTAGAGCAGCGCTTTTCAAACTTTACACGGGGGGTGTTGTTAACATGCAGCTTCTGATTCAGTAGGTCTGAGGTGGGGCCCAAGATTCTGCATCTTTTTAAAAAGATTTATTTATTTATTTGGGGGGGCAGAGGGAGAGAGAGAGAAGCAGACTCCCCGCTGAGCTCGGAGCTCAACGAGGGGCTCAATCTTAGGACCTGCGTGGAAATCCAGAGTCAACCTCTTAACCAACTGAGCCACCCAGGCACCCCAGATTCTGCATTTTTAACAAGCTTCCAGGTGATGCTGATGCTGGCAGTCCACGGACAGAGTATGAAAGTATTCTGTTGGGCGCCTGGGTGGCTCAGTTGGTTAAGCGACTGCCTTCGGCTCAGGTCATGATCCTGGAGTCCCGGGATCGAGTCCCACATCGGGCTCCCTGCTCGGCAGGGAGTCTGCTTCTCCCTCTGACCCTCTTCCCTCTCGTGCTCTCTATCTCTCATTCTCTCTCTCAAATAAATAAATAAAATCTTTAAAAAAAAAAAGTATTCTGTTGTGCAGTGAGAGTTGTGTGGTTGAAAACTAATCCCTCCCCTCCACTCCCCACCTGTGCTTGAGAATCACAGAACTAGTTCAGGGTGGTCTTTTTGCCACTGGGGAAACTGAGGCCCTCAAAGGAAGAGTGACCTGCCCAAAGACACACTCCAGATCCATTGCAGAAGTAAGATGAGATGCCAGTGTTCTGAGTTTCAGGTGATGCTCTTCCCTGCCTCCAGCCCAGCTTCTAGATAATTCTCTGCAAGTGGCAGTGCCTCTTCTGAAAGTGAAGACCATCTCCTTGTGGGAGAGCTTCCTTTTCAGAATCAGCCTTGGATACCTATAGGCAATTAGGAAATATCTCAGATTTCAGATCCCCCAACAGCCTTATCTGGTGCACCTGCCCATAGCCTGCCTCGAAACCTTGGCCTCATTCCCATCCCAGGAGTGACCCCAGGCTGGGATGCTGTGGCCAGAGCTCCGAGAAGCGGCCCTGACTGGTTGGCAGCATGGATGTGGGGGAAGTAGATAATCTGCAATCTCTCTCCTGTCCCCATTCCTGGAGGGCTCCACAGAGCAAAAGGAGTGAGATGCATTTGCTTAAATGCTGGTTACCGAGAGGGTTAATAGAGGAAAATGACCCGGAAAGCAGAACATTTGGGATCAGAGTCCACCCACACATCAATATGTGCCCCCTTGGCCAAGACTTCTTTGCTGTTTCAGTTTCACTATAGGTAAAGGCACCAAATCTTTGGACTAGAAATTTTCAAATTTCCTTTCAAAGCTATCTTCGTAGGAGTTTGAGCACTGTGGGGCGGAATCCATCTTTTGTGGGTTGGGTGGGTTTTGAGCATATGTGCGTTTAAAAAAAATGCATTAACTTAAGTTACCCCTACACCTCCTGCCCTGTGACAATCTGACAGATCTTACGCCCTGGTGGGGGCTGGGGGTAGGTCGCACCTTTGGGTAATTCAAACCAGGACACAAGTAGCTGAGTTTTTTCCTCCGGATGCCCCAGCAATCCGCGCTCTCTAACAGATCTGCCCGGTTTTTCTTTCCTCTCTTTTCACGTGGGCTTCTTTCCACCCCCAGCTCCCGCTCCCCACATTGACCCCATTCGAAGTGCCCCCGGCTTCGTCTCAGCCTTTATCCGGACTGAAAGCGGCGCGGGCCAGAACAGGCAGCCTAGCACGGTTTCCGAGGCCGCTCCGCTCCAAGAAGCAGTGCTGGCGCGTGCCCTGGTGGAAAACGGAAGAACTGCAAGCGCTTCGTTCTGGCTCCGCCCCCCGGGCCAAAGCCTTCCAGGTCACTTGGGAGCCTCCGCCCAATGACCCGAAGCGGAGGCGGTGGCGCTCGGGACTAAGCCGGGGATCTCGGAGGGAGAGAGGGTGAGGGGCACACCGTATCGGGGGAAGGGGGGAAGAGAGGAAGGGGGGACAGAAGAGGGGTGTGAGACTCTCGGAGGGGTTGGGTGGCGAGGGAGGGGGTCCCGCGACTGCACCCGAGGGCCGGGTTCCCGGTAGGGCCCTGGGAGCGTGCGCTCTGCGCCCTCCTGCTGAGCCCCGAGCCTGGAGCCCGGAGCCCGGGACCGAGAGCCGGTGCCTCTGCCGCGCATGGAGTGTGTGCGGTGCTGAGCATCCCGAATCCAACGGCAGTGTCCTCCGAGTGCCTGTTGACACGTGTTGGGAGAGGGGCTCCCAGGGGCTGAGCCCTGGTCAGGATGGTGGAGAGGTGGCCCGAGGGGGACGCACTCATCTCCACCTCTCCCCAGATGGCTTCGTGGAACCCCGACGCCCCGTGTTCCTGCGATTGCTTTGTCTCGGTACCCCCGGCCTCGGCCATCCCCGCGGTGATCTTTGCCAAGAACTCTGACCGGCCCCGGGACGAAGTGCAGGAGGTGGTGTTTGTACCGGCAAGCACCCACGCCCCTGGGAGCCGGCTCCAGGTGGGTTAGGCCTTATGGAAGTGTCAGGAGCTCTGGCAGATCTAGGCATCCGTCTAAGACCTTCCTCCTCTGCTCCTCAGGCCCGGAAAGTCGCCACAGGTGCTGGAAAGAGCATGACCTTCTTGTCTACCAACCTGGCCCTAGCCTCTTTTTAGCCTCCTCGTCTGCAAAATGGGAATACCAATACCCTTTCTGAGTGGACTCTCCCTTTCTCCCCCCTTACCTGCAGTGCACCTACATTGAGGTGGAACAGGTGTCAAAGACTCACGCTGTGATCCTGAGCCGCCCTTCTTGGCTGTGGGGGGCTGAGATGGGCGCCAATGAGCATGGCGTCTGTATTGGCAATGAGGCAGTGTGGACCAAGGAGCCAGTTGACGAGGGGGAAGCTCTGCTGGGCATGGATCTGCTCAGGTAGGGACCCTGCCCTCCCTCATCGCTATGGACTGGAAGTCTGAGAGCTGAGTACTGACCCAGGCCATCCCCCTCCCCCCCCCAAGCGGGGTCACAGGGGCCTCAATCTTTGTGTCCCCCTCGCCATCCCCAGAGAGGCTGTCCCTGCTCCTCCTCTCTCCCGGGGCCCCATCTCTCCAGTCTGGTAAGGAGCTCCCAAGTGTGGCCACTTCTGGGCCTCTCCTGGCCCAGAAATGGGGCAGTGGTTTCACATTTCTTTTTTCAACAGAAGTGCCTTTTTTTTTTCTTTCCCAAATGGAATCTCACAGGGAGCCCCAATGTATAAAGCCAGTAAAAGTAGAGCAGCTCTGGTTGAAGGGAGGCTGAGGGACTTAGTGCGCTTCTCTCTCGGAGACCATGTTTTGGGCCTCTTCCTGGGACCCTCAGAGCAGAACAGGAAACCACTGGCCTCACTGCACTCCATACAACCACTGTCTGCAGATTGTGTGGCAGGGCCCTCTCTGGGCTGCGTCTGTCTGCTGGGGCTTCCGTCACCCGCCGCCAGTACCTCACTGCCCTTCTGGTCCCTGCCCCTCTCTTCGTGGCCAGGCTAGCTTTAGAACGGAGCCGCTCTGCCCTGGAGGCCTTGCACGTGATCACGGGCTTGCTGGAGCGCTACGGGCAAGGGGGCGGCTGCCAGGAGGACCCCGCACCATTCTGCTACCACAACACTTTCCTGCTGGCTGACCGGACTGAGGCATGGGTACTGGAGACGGCGGGGAGGCTGTGGGCCGCACAGAGGATCCAGGGTGAGGGCCTGGCACCGGGGCTTGCCTCCCGGGGGTGTCCCGTTTTGCCAGCCTTGGGAGGGGGTGGGATGGGGGCAGGGCAGGGCAGGACCCTTGCTTCCCCCTTCACTTGCTTAGGTCCTCTTGTGCTCTAGCCTGCCACTTCCTCTGGGGAGCCTTCCTGGACTCCCAGGCAGTCAGGTTCCCCCCTTATATGCAAGCAGGTGCCTCTTCACTGCACTCATCACAGCTGCAAGTTCACATTTATTTCTGTGATCCTTTTGTCTGTCTCCCTCCCCACGAGGGCAGGACTGTTCTCTTCACCATCATGTTCTCGGCACCTGGCACAGAGCAGGTGCTTCATGATAAATGAGCCACCCCCTCCCCCCGCCGCCTCCTCCACAGAGGGGGCCCGCAACATCTCCAACCAGTTGAGCATTGGCACGGACATCTCGGCCGAACACTCGGAGCTGCGGACCCACGCCCTGGCCCAGAGCTGGTGGGATGGGCAGGGCACTTTTGACTTCGCTCAGGTCTTCTCCCTGACCCAGCAGCCTGTGCGCATGGAGGCTGCCAAAGCCCGCTTCCAGGCTGGGCAGGAGCTGCTGCAGCAGCAAAGAGGTGAGTGAGTGGATGGTGGTGGCCTGAGGGCCGGAGAGCCTCGGCAGTGCCAGCCCTTCTCCTCTCGCACGGCTTTGACCCAAGGCCAGAGGTCCCCCTTCTGCCCTGGGGGCCCCCTCAGCCTGTCCTCCTTTGCAGGGGGCATCACGGCAGAGGTGATGATGGGCATCCTCAGGAACAAGGAGAGTGGCATCTGCATGGACTCAGGAGGCTTTCGCACCACGGCCAGCATGGTGTCCATCCTGCCCCGGGACCCCACACAGCCCTGTGTCCACTTCCTCACCGCCACGCCAGACCCATCCAGGTGAGGGGAATGAGGGTGGGGAAGGCAGGGGAGAGCAAGCCAGGTGGGGGGGGGATGGGGGATGTAATAACCTTCGCTCCTTCCGTCTCTGTCCCATTAGGTCAGTGTTCAAACCTTTCATCTTTGGGGCAGGGACGGCCCAGGCCCCCCAGGTGCTGTCCCCCACTTTTGGAGCACAGGACCCTGTTCGGACCCAGCCCCGATTCCAGACTCAGGTGGATCGGCGGCACACCCTCTACCGCGGACACCAGGTGGCTCTGGGACTGATGGAGAGTGAGCAGGTACCCCCAGGGACTAGGGGCTACGCTGGGGGCACGACTCACTTCCCCCACCCCCAATCGGGATTCTGGAAATACGAGGGGGACTGGGAGTGGAGGAGAGACTCTAGAGTTGGGGAGAGGAGTCTCTGCCTTCCAAGCTAGCTGCCCAGGAAAATGTCGGGGACCCTGTCCTTTCTCCTGCTTGTGGGAGATGGCAGGGATCTCCCCTGGATCCAGAGGGAAGCCCGTTCCGGGGACTCATCTCCACCTTTCCTGGGCAGGATCGGGGGCAGCAGCTCCGGCAGAAGCAGCGGGATCTGGAGCAGGAAGGCCTGGAGGCTGCGCGGGGACTGCTGGCCGGGGGGTGGGCCCCACCGCCGCAGGAGCTGGCCACCCTCTTCCAGGCCTTTGTGGAGAGGGAGGGCCAGGTGTACGCCTGAGCGCCACGGTGCCTCCTGGCCTGGGGTGAGCACAGGACCCCTGGGGCAGCAGGATCAGCACTAGCCCTTCACTCCCCTCAGCCTTGTTGTGGGCAGCCAGCTCGGCCTTTGGCTTAATAATGTTACTTCGCTGTTCAGTGAACATGATCCCTGGTCTAGTGGGGATGGGAGAGCCAAGTGAGGGCAAAGGGCAGCCCTGAGCTGACTACACGGCCTCTGGTCGTCTTGCTGGGCAGCACAGTCTTCTCACTCGGCTGATGGGAACTAGATGGAGAACGTTGTGGCAGGGGCGTGTGAGGAGAGGTGGTCTCCCCAGGTGTGTGAGCGGGTGTGAGCAAGAGAACACGCCTGGCACAATATGGGGCTACCATTTAGGGGAGAATTAGAACCACGGGTTTCTGGTCCTTGGCTCGAACCTTGGGAGGGCACTCCCTAAGGGCAGCAGTGAGATGTGCCCTGGAGGACGGCATCTTCCTCAAGGCGAGGCCCGCTCAGGGCCCAGGCAGCCAGGTGGAGGACCTGAGGTGGGCCAGTCCTTTGGGTAGTTCCCGAAAGGTCCAGAAACGTGTTCTTTAGAGTGGGGATCTGTATTTCTGTGACTCCTTCCCACTGCCTTGACTGCTTGCTTCCCCTCAGATGCCCCCCAATGACATGAAAGACATACTCAGGGGCGCCTGGGTGGCTCAGTCGTTAAGTGTCTGCCTTCGGCTCGGGTCATGATCCCAGGGTCCTGGGATCGAGCCCCGCATCGGGCTCCCTGCTCCGCGGGAAGCCTGCTTCTCCCTCTCCCACTCCCCCTGCTTCTGTTCCCTCTCTCGCTGTGTTTCTTTCTGTCAAATAAATAAAATGAAAGACATACTCAGGGCTGGGAGACATTTTACTGGGGTAGGCTCCTGCCACAGGGGAGGGGTCTGAGAAGGAGGGGACGCCCCACCCCATGCCCTCTTCTTCCCCAATCCTTGTTCCTGGGGTATTGCTGGTAGGGACGGGCTGCACTTCACTTCTTGATTCTTTTGGTCACAGTTTTGGTAGTGCTAGAGGCCCCAGCCACAGAGGCCTTGGGGGCTGTGGTCCCCTTCTTTGCTGGGACAGTGATTTGCTGGCTGGAAACCAGAGGGCAGGGTTTCTTGCTGGCAGAGGTAGCTTGTGGCAAGGAGGCGGGCTTGGAGGATGTCTCCTTCCCTTGCCCGGGAGTGAGAGAGGGACTGCTGTCCCTAGCCATGGGCCCCCCAGGCAGCAGGGGGAGGCCAGTGAGGGCGGGCTTTGTCTCCATCCTCAGAATGTGCTCAGTCAGGGCTGCCTGCTGTCTGCGCTCCTTGTGTCTGCCCATCTCCTGTTCCAGCTCCTGGAGGAAGCCTGGGAGGGACAAGATGGGAGGTGGTAGATGGAGCCCCAGGCTTGGCAGGAAGGCCCTTGGTGGGAGGTCTCTGGCTGACCCTCTGAGCAAACAAACCCACTGCCATCCCTAGTGGGGAGGTGCCTGGGGCTGGGGTCGGGAGGACGTGTCACCTGCATGCCGGGCTGACACCTGGCCCCAGTGGCACTGTCCGTCTCTGACCCAGATGCTGCTCTGGGCTTGGGGCCGCCTCCCTAGCCACCACTGCCATCTTAGCTTCCCCTGTGCCCCACGGGGCAGAGGGGAGTTCTAGGAAGAAGGGTGCAAGCCTTGGAAAGCAGGGCCACCTCGCTCTGTGCAGAACGGGCCACTCAGCTCCGGGAACTCCTCCTCCTCATCGCCCGAGGCTTTCTCCTCCTCATCCGAGGTCCAGCGCTCTAACACAGGCTGCTTGTCCAGGTCCAGGAGCAGCGGCAGGGCTTCTGTCACCAGCTCTCTGCAGGGCGGGGAGAGCAGAGGCCCCCCAGGAGAGCACCCATGAGTGGGGAGCCTGGGGGAGCCAGACACAAGCTGCAGCAACCACACTGGGAGGGGTGGGGGTTCGCGGGCAGGGAGATGGGCCTGTGGTCAGCCCCAAAGAGCTAAGGGCTGGCTCCGTGTGGACCTCAGGGTGGGAGAGAAAAGGCGTCCCACTTGAGCTGGGGTGGCAGAGAAGGTGCCATGGATGGTGACCCCGGGTCTGCAGGCTGAGAGGGAGTGCATGTGGAGGTAGGAGGAGGAGCTTGGCCATCCCCCATTTCTTCCCGCCCTCAGGTCCTCCTCACCTGTACCTGTCCTGGTTGGTGCAGCTATTTCCAGTCAGGTTGAGGATGAGAAGGCTCTGGGGGAACTCATCTGCACACACCAGGGAGAGGGGAAGGAGGGTGTCATAGCCATCTTCTGGCCCAAAGCCACTGCCTCTTTGTACAGCCTCCCCAGAACCCCCAGAGGCTGTGCTGCTAATGCAAGCGTAGGGAGATGGTGGCAGAGAGGAGGGAGGCCCCCCAACACGAGGTTTATCCCATGAGCTGGGGCCAGGCCCTTCCTACCCAGCTTCAGGGTTTCTATCAGGTTCTCAGAAAGGTCCAGAAACTGGAGATGTGGGAGGTCACGGAGGTTTTCCACCTGCTTGATTTGGTTTCCTGCCAGAGACAGGAAGCTGCGGGGGGAAGGGAGGGGTGCAGAGACAGAGCTGAATCACAGAACCACTGGAGGAAGGGAGGCGGGCACCAGGCCCCCAGCGCCCCTGGCTAAGCAGCCCGATGATGAGTGGGGACCCATGGCCCCCTGGGGTGGAGGAAGCAGAGCAGGGCTTGCTGGGTCCTCAGCAGACAAGACATTAGGCTTGGAGAGGTCTGCACCAGTTCTCTGGGGCGTGACCAGGTCTCCCTCTCTCCCCCCTCCCCCGGGCCTGAGCCCTGACAGCACGTACCGCAAGGAGGGGATGCAGGCCAGGTTCTCAATCCGCTGGATCTTATTCTGCAGAAAGCAAACGAGTTGGGGAAACTGGGTAGACCATGTCTCCTGGCCCAGTCAGAGAGCTGGCACTTTGGGAATGACAGCCGCCCCCCGCCGGCTTGCTGAACTGGTTCTCAGTACCTGGGGATGATTTGCTTTCTCTGGGTGGATGGTGAAGGGTGTCAACTTGGGGGCTGACTACGCTTCATTAAAGTATACCCTGCTCACCCCACAACCAAAGAGGGGCCTGGAAATAAGAAGGAAACCAAGGGGCCATGGGGAAATAGCAAAAGCCTTGGTGGTGGCTTAGGTACACACAGGGAGTAATGAATATACATTACTTTGATTTGTAAAGTTTCTATGGGGAAAGATTAAAGGAGCTGGGTATATTCAAACTGGAGGAGACTGAATCACCACCACCACCACCACCACCACCACCACCAACAAACAGCCTTCAAGGTTCTGAAGGATGCAGAGGAATCTTCTGGTTCCCTCTTCTACTTCTTCAAAACAGGAAATGGGCTCGAGGTATATATAACATGAGAGATTTAGGGTAGACACCAAAAAGAACTTTGAGACCAAGAGAAGTGTCTGACAAAAAACAGTGATTCAAGAGCATGCTCCGGATCTCTTTTGGGAGGATTGGTCTTTCTTTCTTTCTTTTTTTTTTTTTTAGGTTTTATTTATTTATTTGAGAGAGAGAGAATGAGATAGAGAGCATGAGAGGGAAGAGGGTCAGAGGGAGAAGCAGACTCCCTGCTGAGCAGGGAGCCCGATGCGGGACTTGATCCCGGGACTCCAGGATCATGACCTGAGCCGAAGGCAGTCGCTTAACCAACTGAGCCACCCAGGCGCCCGGGAGGATTGGTCTTTCAATTGAACAGAATTTCTGATTCATCTAGGAATAGTTTCTTTCTTTCCTTCTTTCTTTTTCTTTCTTTCTTTCATTCTTTCTTTCTTTCTTTTTCTTTCTTTCCTTCCTTCTTTCTTTTTCTTTCTTTCTTCTTTCTTTCTTTTTTCTTTCCTTCCTTCCTTCCCTTCTTTCTTTTTCTCTTTTCTTTCTTTCTTTCTTTTCTTTCTTTTCTTTCCTCTCTTTCCTTCCTTCCTTCCTCCTGATTTTACTTTTAAGTAATCTCTACACCTAATGTGGGGCTTGAACTTAGAACCCTGAGATCTAGAGGTGCATGCTCCACAGATAAGCCAGCCAGGCACCCCATCTGGGAACAGTTTCAGTGAAGGTCTGCCTACCTGAATGCCAGGGAATGGGCAAGATGACCTGATCGGTTGCTTTCGGATTAAACAGACTCGGTCCACAGAGGGTGAAGGAGGGTGAAGGAGGGTGAAGGGGGAGGAAGGGCAGGAGGCAAGAAGTTACCGCTTGCAGATAAAGGCTGTGAAGGTTCTGGAGGCCCTCAAGGTTCCCGATAGTGGTAATCCCCTCCCGGTCCAGGCGGACAGTCTGCAGTTCAGCCAGAGTGTGAAACCTGGAAGAACGGTCAGCAGGTGATTGTAAGGGAGCGCCACTGCTGCGGTGTCTCAGCAGGGAAGATGGGAGGGGGGAGGAAAGGTGTTTCAAGCAAAGCGCCTTTGATGAGATGTCGAACTTCTTGACTCATGAGGCGGTGTCCAGATCATGAAACCTGGTTGGCTGGGAGCCCTGGATCTTGGTCAGTAGCACTGGGAAGGATCAGAGGGTGAATGGAGTAGAGGGCCCTTGGACTGGGAAATGGGTGATAGCAGCTTATGGTTCCTGGAGAGACTCTGAGGCAAGAGAACACAAGGGAAGCCTTCCTTGGGCCAGCGTGGATGGTGGAAGCAGGGGCCGGGGCAGAGATGAGACAATCTCTGCAGGAGGATCCTTCCCCACTTCCCTTTTCAGTGGTCCATGGAAGGAAAAGCACTTGTTCCATTCACTCATTCATCCCACGGCATTTACTGCCCACTAGAGACAAATGAGAGTCCCTGCCCATCACTATTAGGGAAGCAGGCCAAAGGTCTACAAGTGGATCACAGACACGAGTACAGGGGACTAAAGGAGTGCCTGAACTGTGCACTCAGTCCTGAATCGGGGGACAGGGAATGCTTCTTGGAGGAGGTGACATACAAGTAGAAGTTGGCTGGGAAGGTGAGAAGGTGATGAGGAGAAGGCATATCAAAAAGAAGGAACAGTATGTGCTAATCCAGGCTTTCTCCAACTTTAATACGCCCGGAAGTCCCTTGGGAGTTCTTGTTAAAATGCAGATTTCAGTTAAGTAAGTCCGGGGTGGGCCTGAGTGTCTTCATTACTAACAACGGCCCAGGTGATGCTGCTCAGCACCAATCTAAGAGGTAAGGTGCTAAGGTGTGAAAACGTGGGGTCTTAGAGGAATTGTGAACAGCAAGAAAAAAGGCTGAAAAGGCATCAGAGGTCAACTCACATTAAGGCATTTGGATTTTATTCTGGAAGTACGAGAGAGCCAAGGAAGGTTCTATCAGGGTGTGCCTGATCAGATTTATCATTTAAAAGGATCACTTTGGCAACGGCACGGGGGATCCAGGACTGGGGGCGTGGAGACTAATTAGGAGTTTGTTGAGAGGTGATGGCTTAAGAGCCTTATTTAAGGCAGTTGACTGGGCATGGTAAAAAAGCAATAGAATAATGTTTAAGGAGGCAAAATCAATTGGACATGACCACTGATTGAATGCATGGAATAAGTAAAAAGAGGGACAAAGATGAGTTGACAAACCAGTACAGCTCAGGGGACCGGTCATCCTGTGTGTTTCAAGCGTCCAGCACCCCTTTTCTCCCCCCCCGCCCCCGGCACTCACATCTTCTCTGACAGATCCTCATCCTCAGGGAAGGCCAAGTTCCGCTTAGTGATAAGGGCTTCAGTAATGCACACTCCCCCTTCCTCTGGACTCTGGGCAAGCTTAGCTGTGAAAAGATGAGTCCGGTTGTTACATTTCTTATTCTTGGAAGCCTGACCCTACTGTTATCCAACTGTTCTACTCACCACCCCATCCCCTACTCACCTCCGGGCATGATTTAAAGGTTACTGGCCTGGCATGGGATTAGAACGAAGGGAAGTAGACCAACTTGGACAGTCCCGGGTATGGCGGAACCCAGGATGGTAGGAGGAGAGAGAAGCTCGGAGACTCGAAGGAACAAGGGAAAGTGGTTGATTCAGGGCCAATTAATGAGGTGGGGTAGAAGACAAAAGTAAATCGAGGCAGGGGCTCCGGATTTCGAGGGGGGCAAAGGGGCTGGTAAAACTGGGGAATTGTGGGTAGAGAGTGGCGGGTGCGGATCCAAAGAGCTGTGCCCGAGTCTAAGCGTCGTTGCTAGGAGACTGGACGCCGGGCCGGGCGTCGGGGAGGGCGGGCTCTCAGGCACCCGGCTCAGCGCATGCGGATTAGTGCTCCAGCCGACGTATCTGCCGGCTGCTTCCGGCCCCAGGATTTCCCACAATCCTTAGGTCCTTCTGTCTCTCCCGGCTCTCGTCTGGTCTTCCGGTGGCGATGGCTGCGGCCGTGGCTGGGATGCCGCGAGGGGGTCTCCTGCCCCAGGCGGGTAAGGAGCTGCCCAGGTCCTCACGGCGCGTTCCGGCCGGTGCTCTCTAGTTCTGTCTCCCCTCCTCCACTACTGATCCTCTCCCGCAATCTCTTACTCCAGACAGCTCCCGATGACCCCTGGCCCCAGCTAGATCGCTGGCCGCCTTCCTCCGTCTAAAATTCCCTGTGACTGCAGACACTAGTAGTAGGCGCAGTACAGCAACAGCGTCGGCGACAACCACAGTCTTTCTTCCCTCCGCCCGAGTTCCCCTTCCTTCTCTGGGTTTCTGTAATGCACCACCCAGCTCTTGGTCGCCTCCAGTTTCCTTTGCTTGAACCACTGCTCGCCCCGACCTTGGCGCTGTGCCACCTTTCCACGGTCTCAGCCTAAATGTCACCTGCTTAGGTCTGCCCTGGCCACCTTCTCCAAAGCAGGTTTCCCCTGTTAAATCTGTATTTTGCAGCTTGTTTATGGACTCCTTTCACTCTCACAGTCTGTAATTTTGCATTGGTTTATGTGTTGTCTCCTGTATTAGACTTCAAACTCCGTAAGAGCAGAACCGCGTTCATTCAGTATAGCCAGCAGGTGGCGTGGTGCCTGGCATTAGTAGGCATGCAATAGACATTTGTTTAATGAATGATTTGCGCACATAATATAGGCCAGGCACAGTGGTAAATGATTGACATGTATTAGCTCATTTAAATCTTAGAGCAGTCATGAAGAAGTCATTATCATCTCCTCTTTACAGGTGAAGAAATTCAAGTTTAGACTAGTTGAGTGACTGGTCAAGGTCACAGCTAGTAAGTGGCAGAAGAGATTAAAATTTGGTTCCGTCTGTGGGGTGCCTGGGTGGCCTAGTCGATTTAAGCATCCGGCTCTTGGTTTTAGCTCCGGTCCTGATCTCAGGGTTGTGAGATTGAGCCCTGCGTCGGGCTCGGTGCTGCTGAGCGTGGAGCCTGCTTGTCATTCTCCCTTCCCCTCTGCCCACCCCCTGCCTTTTTCTCAGGGGAAAAAAAAAAAAAATCCGGTTCCATCTGATCCCAAACCTGTGTTCTTAACTTAGGTTTTGTGGCTGCTGGCAATAAAACCTCTCACCCCAGCAAACCTCCATGCTCTTTTTTAGAGCCACCTTCTAGCTGAACTTTTCCCTGAGACCCCAGCCCAATCTTGGGAAGGGCTGAAACTGGGAAGCACTAGCTGGGTCCTTTTGTTGAAGATGAAGGGGTCACTTAGGCTTACAGCTTTCAAGTGGCTCCCTTGTCTTCTGAGGGGTGCTCTCCACCGATGCTTGTAAACAAGAACGGAGGGAAGGGAGGCTTGTTTGGGGGAGCTGTGAGGGCCGTGGAACTTCTTTTCTCTCTTCAAATCATGGGCGAAGGCTTCAGAGCAGTGCTTAGAGTGTTGTTTTTCAGACTTCAGCATGTACCTGCAGCACCCGGAGGGCTTCTTAGAACTGCTCTTTGCTGGGCTCCCCTCCAGTGCTTCTGACTCAGTAGGTCCAGGACAGGCCCTGGCAACTTGGGTTTCTAATAAGTTCCCAGGTGATGCCGATGTTGCTGGCTGGGTGGGGGGAGCACACCCTGAGAACCACTGGCTTAGACCAGGGCTTGGCATACTGTGGCAGGACTGATCACTATGTTTTATAAATAAAGTTTTATTGGAATACAGCCATGCCTGCTTGTTTCATATTGTCTAGGATTGCTTTCATGATACAATGGCATGGTTGAGTAGTAGAGACAGACTGTATGGTTCTCAAACTTAAAATATTTACTGTTTGGCCATATAAGAAAAAAAATTTGCGGGGCACCTGGGTGGCTCAGTGGGTTAAGCATCTGCCTTCAGCTCAGGTCATGATCCTGGGGTCCTGGGATTGAACCCCGTGTCAGGCTCCCTGCTCAGCGGGGAGTCTGCTTCTCTCCCTCTGCTCCTACACCCCCACTCGCGTTCTCCATTACTCTCTCTCAAATAAATAAATAAAATCTTAAAAAAAAAATTTGCTCAACCCTCTCCTCCTTTTTTAATGTGTTCAAATATACTTTCTTCCTTGTTCTCATCTTTTTCTCCCGTCTCTGTGCATATAGAAGAGCTGGAGAAATGGGAGCCTCAAAGGACTTAAGGTCACCCATTAAAGGGAAGGGGAGTTTGGGGGATTTAGGATTCCTAACAGACAATTCCTTGTCCCACTCTTGTGCTGAGTCTAGTTCTCTGAGCCGTGCTTGTCTTGCCCAGAGGTGGGCTTTTTTGCCATCTGAGGCCAACTAAGGACTCCTAGAGGCTGCACGTCACAGAGTTGCCATTTCCCCTCCCAGGCCGGCTGCCCACCCTCCAGACTGTCCGTTGTGGCTCCAAGGCTGTTACCCGCCATCGTCGTGTGATGCACTTCCAGCGGCAGAAGCTGATGGCTCTGACTGAGTATATCCCCCCAAAACCCGTGGTCAACCCGAGATGCCTACCGTGTCCTCCCAGTCCCCCACAGGAGGTAAGGAGGACACTGCCTGTCCTTGATGCTGGGATGGTGGATTGAAGTGATCTTGTCTCTGAAGCCATAATGAAGTAGCCCTCCAGGACCCAGCCCTCTACATCATTACTTCCGCTCTTTGACCCTGTGGGCCAGGTGCTTTAAAATGAAATGTGCACTTGATTCTGCTTGGCATTTTGGGCTCTGGATCAGACGGGCCTCCTGGGTTTCCTTCTTTCTTTACTTGTCTCCCCAAGATTGTGTGAAGGTTATCCAAGCAGGTGGAGGTAGGGGAGAGTATCTCTCTTGTCTTGAAAGGACTTGAAGTTTCCCACGTTTGGGCATCACTGGGAGCCCCGGCACCCGTCCCCCAGGGAGAAAGGGGGACAAGGAGAAGGGCAGCTGATGTCCCCTTGGTCATCCCTTCCTGACTACAGGAGACAGGCCTTATCCGGCTCCTCCGTCGGGAGCTAGATGCAGTGTTCCGAGAGAACCGAATGATAGCTGTCTGTCAGAATGTGGCTCTGAGTGCGGAGGACAAGCTTCTCATGCGGCACCGGCTGCGGAAGCATAAGATCTTGATGAAGATCTTCCCCAACCAGGTAGGGAGCAGCCCTCTGGTGCGGGCACCCTGTTCCCCACCCCTGCCAACTCGGACCACAGGGGGCCCCTTTCCAGATTGGGTGTGTTCGACCCTCCCACTGCAAGCAACCCTCCAGTCTAGTGCCTACGCTGTGGTTTGGGGCCGAGGAGACTGTCGGCTTGCACCCTCAGCCTGACTTGGCCTGTGATCAGGGTGGGCAGCCCTTCCTCCCACTTGTGCCCAGGAAGCCCTCTTTCCTGCTGTTCCAGGTTCTGAAGCCCTTCCTAGAGGATTCCAAGTACCAAAACCTGCTGCCCCTCTTTGTGGGGCACAACTTCCTGCTGGTCAGCGAGGAGCCCAAGGTCAAGGAGATGGTGCGAATCTTAAAGGGTGTGCCTTTCCTGCCACTGCTCGGTGAGCAAGCACCCTTGTGGGTTGAGGATGGGGGTGAAGGGGAGTGGGTGCTACCGCAGCCTGGTGCCATCTGCTAAGTACATGTGGGTAAAACTGTGGACTTCCTTGGGGGGACAGCCTCTCATGGATGGGGACTGAGTCAGTAGCACCATTTTTTTTTTTTTTTTAAAAGATTGTATTTATTTATTTGACAGAGAGAGACACAGTGAGAGAGGGAACATAAGCAAAGGGAGTGGGAGAGGGAGAAGCAGGCTTCCCGACGAGCAGGGAGCCCGATGCGGGGCTTAATCCTAGGACCCTGGGATCGTGACCTGAGCCGAGGGCAGATACTCAACTGACTGAGCCACCCAGGCGCCCCTCTGTGGTTAAGAAGGTTTAGGAAACCATGACTTAGTTGGGGGTGGGCCTGGTGGATGTCTTATGTGAGTGTTTTCTAGGGAAGAGTTAGGAAGGAAGGGAGGGTATCAGTCCCAAACTGAGGGGGAGTTGGGTGGGACAGATGTGGGAGCCAGATTTGGGGGAAGGCTTGGAGATGGAGGAGGGTGACAGAGCGTGCGTTGGAACCTTGGGTTGGACCGTTGGTTTCAGTGGAGAGAGGCATTTGTGGGGGCCCCGCTGAGCCTGTGTTCCTCCAGGTGGCTGCATCGACGGCACCATCCTCAGCAGGCAGGGCTTCATCAACTACTCCCAGCTTCCCAGCCTGGCCATGGTGCAGGAGGAGCTGGTAGGAGGACTCACCTTCCGCATGGCCCAGACCCACCTCTTGCTTCAGCACCAGCCCTTCCAGCTGACGGCCCTGCTGGACCAGTACATGAGACAGCAACAGAAGGGGGACTCCGTCGCGCCAGCCAGTGGGCAGCCTGCTTCTCCTGACCCTGTTCCGAACTCCTAGCCAGCCTGTTGTACCCAGTCTGCCCGTAAACATACTCTACCCCTGTTGCCTGCGCCCTCATCCATCAATCAGAAATGTGGAAGCACTTGGGGTGGGGAGTGGCATTCGTGACCTGACTCACTGACCCCGACTTCCTCAGATACAGGGCCACCCAGGGATGCAGAGACACCCCATTTCCGAATGAAGGCTCTGAATTGCTGTCTTTGTCCCTAGTGTTCCCACCCTGGGACCTAACAGGAGTGGGCTTTTGGCTCTCCGGGTCCAGGGCAGAGAAGCTGATCAGATGATGAGGTTGCCCTCTGCCTCCATGTCTGCTGTCCCTTGCTGCACGTGTCTCCCGGCCTACCCCCTCGTGGGCCCGCCGTGCTGCAATAGTCCCCCTCGGTACTTGTGCTGAGAGTGACATCTGTTGAGAGCCAGGCTCCGTGCTCACCACTTGACACACCTCCATTCTTCTCACCATGTCACCCTAACATCCCCCATTTCACAGAGAAGTTCAGGAGTCCGCCCAAGGTCATGCAGCTAACAAGAGACCGAACAGGTGCTTGAACCAGGCTCTCTCTGCTCTGAAGACCATGCCCTGGATTTCTGCCCTCAAGCTTCCTCATTAGGGTCTGGGGTGTGCCTGAGTGTTAATTCTCCACCCTCAGGGTGTGTCACGTTATGGAAAGGTTGGGAGCACTGCTTGATGATAAAATGAAATGCATTTTACTTTCTCGGTTTTGCTGTTTGCAAGCTTATCCTCCGTGTAGACTTATTCTCAGGGCTGCCTCTGATTCTCACTTCCCCTCCTAGAAAATCCTTCCTCTTTCCATGTCCAGGTCCCTTACCTCCCTGGACCAGTCCCACAAATGGCATCTCTCACATGTTTGTCCTTTTGAAGGTAGCTGCCAACTTTGCCCGGTAGCCAACATGTCCCAGGTGATTCTGAGCAAGAGCTGGGCCAAACCAGAATTCTGTATTAATGAGGGGGTCTGGAGGCTCTCGAGTGGGAGGCCTCATCCCAATCTTGGAGAACCAGAAGTTCCTAATGAAGGAGAGAGAATGTTTAACTGGAAGCCTGCCCTTGTCCTTGATTGGAGTAGGGAAGATGGCTGTCGAACTTTCCTCCCAGACCTGGGGCAGTGCCACAGCTTCCTTAGTCTTGGACAGGTACCACTCTCGTAATGACGATCTGCAGCTTTTCTGTGGCCTGGTCCAGGACCAATTTCCCACAGTGCCCAGCTCGGTGCTATATGCCCCAGGGATGCTCGATCAATAGGAAGTGAATTAAAAGGCCCCTGAGGCTCGTGGATGTCAGAGCCAGTCTCGCCAGTGCTGCTCAGTGCCCTCCCTGACTCCCAGAACCCTGTCGGGTGCCAACAGCACCCTCCTGGGGCAGCATGAGCCGTGCTGAGGTTCTGAATGGCCAAGAGAACAGGCATCTCCCAAAGGATGTGTAAGATCCTGTGGGGTAAACCAAGGCCTGGGTGGGGGAGGTGACCCACATCCTTTCTGGATCAAAGAATCCTGCACTGCATCCTTCACCTGCTGGCGATGCCTGATGCCCCACCATTAAAACTCACTTTCCAGAAAGCAGCTTCACTGTCCTTAAAGCTGTCTGTCCATTTTGCATTCATTTTAATGAGGTTTAGACTTTTTTTTTTTAAGATTTTATTTATTAAGAGAGCACACGCGCCCGAACGGGGGAAGGAACAGAGGGAGAGAGAGAATCTCAAGCAGATTCTGTGCTGAGTGCAGAGCCCTACGCAGGGCTCAATCTCAAGACCCTGAGCCAAAAATCAAGAGTTGGATGCTTAACTGACTGGGCCACCCAGGTGTCCCATGTTTAGACCTTAAGAGTTGATTTTTAATTAGAATCAAGTACTGAGCTGAACACAGTACTCTGGCAGAAGAGGTGCTCAGAAAGGGAGGCTGGGGGTACCTAAGTTGGCTCCAGCTAGCCCTTTCTAACAGCAATCTGGTCACTGCTGCAGACCCGCTCCTGATCCAGAGACTCTGCAAGCTGGGGATTTTGTGTTACGCACGGGTGCCTCCAGCCCCTTGGGTCCCGCCCTGGTGGGGCATCACCCACAATGACAGCCTTGGTGGGGGCCGCTGCCTGGCCCTCTCCAGCAGTGGCTGCCCTGCTGACCGTGCTGTTGGCACTGTCTGTTGTGGTCCCCCAGGGACATCCGTCCCTTCCCGTCAACCTGATTCCTTTGCTGGCTCCAAATTTTGTAATCTATTTTCAGATGTAAAACGAGAGGGGGGCGGTTAATAAGGAAATGGCCTTGGGTACTCACTGGGGTCAAGGCCATGCTAGTCCGAGTAAGCCCTTTACCACCACTGGCTTGAGGCCAGCAGCTCCCCAGTCTTCCGTGATCTGTCTGGAACTGCGCCCAGTGGGGACTCAGCCCCCACTCCCAAGCTACCTCGGTGCTGGGGAGTCCGCTCAGCCCTGAGTCCTCCCGGGAGCAGGGGGGCAGAGCTGAGCGGCCGCCCAGAGCTTAGCGGGAGGAGGGGCCGGGGAGGGGGGAAGGTGGGGAGATCCGGCTGGAGGGGAGGCTCCAACGTCTCCTTCCTTCCTGGTTCCTGCAGCAGCTGCTGCCACTGCTCAGCTCCGTGAGGAGGGAGCGGGCCACTCGGAGACGGTGACTCAGAGGCAGAGCAGTGCGCGGGCCAAGGAGCACGGGCGTCCATGGACCCTGGGGTAAGGGGACCACGCTGGCATCAGCTGACACCCCCCGGGCAGGCTTCCTCCCACCTGAAGCTGGTGGGTCTGCCTCTCCGGAGACGGGGGTGGGAATGGAAGTGGAGATGGGGCACCGACCTGGCTCACCTCAACCCCGCAGCCCCTCCTGGCAGAGCCTCCCCCTCCATGCGCCAGCAGCGAGGGGCCAGGAGCATCCGGGGCCAGGAAAAGGGCGCAGAGGTACCCAAACACCGGAAGAGTTTGGCAACTTTCAATGGCCAGATGCAGGAGTTTTTACCCCCCACCCCCCACCCCGGGTCAGCCTCTTGCACTCCGGGCCCCTCCGTCCCGACCTCCTGGCCACCACGACCCCACCGCGTTGCTGTCCCTTCCTGGCCTCAGCTCCTCAGGTGCTTGCTGGCTCCATTGGAAGATCTGAGCTGTTTGCCCAGCTTCGGGCCAGCCTCGCCCCTCCAGTCCCCTCCCTGTCTCACACACACGGAGCCTCATGCATTATTGATCTCCCCGTGGAGCCAGGATGGCCAGGGCTGGTGCCAAGGGCGCCTGTGGGCACTGCTGCGGGACCTGTGTGGACCTTGGCATGTTCTTGGCCACCTCTTCTCCTGCACACCGTCCCTCCATGGGCCCAGTCCCCTGCTCTCTCCGGGTGGGTGGTACTTGTCAGGAGCCCCAAGGACTGGAATGTTAGAAGGGAGGCTTTGGCGGGGGTCTGAGGGTCTCAGGTGGGCATCCTAGGGTAGAGGCACAGGGAACAATGGGGAGAGGGCTGTCTCAGGCCTCAGTTTCCCCATGCAGAAGATAGAGGATCTGGAGACCGATTGGTGGGGAGTTGGGATGAAGGGGTTAGGAGCACTCTGCAGAGGCATCGTGGCAGAGGGGTCTCCAGCCCATGATGGCGGCAGGGTGGAGGGATGTCCAGGGGTCCTGAAGGAAGAGAAGCTGGTTTGAGATCTTGCTTGTCCATTCTCTGAATTCCTCTGTCCTTTTTTAGAGCCTCTTTTTTCACTCCCATGCCTCATCTCTGATCACCCCCAGGGAATCCTGCAGAGAAAGCACTGAGTGTTTCCTAGAGCCTGAGAGTGTGGGCCCAAGGTGGGGCTGGGCGGACTTTTGTGGTTTTCTCTTGGCACCGGTCTGCGGGCTGCGTGCTAGTTCAGCTGGTTCACCTCTCTGAGCAGTGGCCACAGCCGGAGGGTGTGGGCAGGGAAACCGGCCCAGGGTGGGGAAGGGACGGACTCGGAGAGTCCTGGCAGGTGAGCAGATGCGGGTGAGCTCTTATCTCAGACGATGCAGGAGGAGTGGGAGGTGGGGAAGGTGAGAGCAGGGTCTGTGCTCATGGGTTCTCTCTCTTGCTTCAAGGGTCCCCTCAGGACAAGGTGACGTCCTTCTCCTTGCACCCCGTTCTACCTTCTGGGCAGGGAGTGGCCGCACCCTTCTCCATGGACTTCCAAGAGAGGGTCCCTAACTCCTTGGCCGAGAGCACTCAGTCTGCAAAGCCAAGCGGTGCCCAGCAGGTCTGAGGGTGGGGAAGCAGGCAGTGGGGGGATAGAATTTGGCCCAAAAGTGGGGGCCAAATTTGGTCACCTTCCCAGCTGCTTTCCTACCTCTCTGTCCTGGACGGCAGGCCTCTGAGCTGTGGGAGGTGGTGGAGGAGCCACGGAGCAGGCTGGGAGCAGAGAGCATCATGCCAGAGAGGCAGGAAGGCCACCTGCTCAAGAAAAGGAAGTGGCCTCTGAAGGGCTGGCACAAGGTAGGGTGGGCAGGGCCAAGGGAGGGGCCAGATGCAGGGGTGGGATGGGCACGTGGGGGAGTGTGTGGGCAGTACAGGGGCTGTGTGTGTGGAGAAGAAGAAAAGTCCATGTGTGTGGTTGCTCTCTCCCCCATACCTTTTCCTCTCGCCTCCTGGGTTCTCGTTCCTTCTGGGCCACATCACAGAGATACTTTGTGCTCGAGGACGGGATCCTTCATTATGCAACCACTCGGCAAGACGTGAGTCAGGGCCTCTGCTGGGGGTCATGGGAATGCGTGTGGCCCCAGAATGCTCCGAATAGGCAGGGGACTTCTGGAATCCACCAGAGCAGGGTCTGATCCCAGCTACACCATTTCTGGGTGTGGGGTCTTAGGCAAGTTCCTTCCCTGGGCCTCAACTCCCTCATCTCTAAGATGGAGAGAGTACAACCCCCCGTTTGTAGGGTTGTCTTCTTGGTAAGGGCCCTCGGGACAGTGCCTGGCACAAAAATCAGTGTCCAGGAAGCGGGAGCTTTCTTATCCATGCCCTCGTCCCGTTCCTGTGCTGGGAACAGGAACTGAAGGCCTGCGCGCTCAGGCTCGCTATCTGAGAGGGTGTTTGCCTTCTCGGTCTTGCGGGTTCCTGAGAGCAGTTTTCCTGGCTCCGTGACTCCACTGAGTTCAGAATGTGACTTGACATAGTGGGGTGCTCTGTGCACAGGAGGACAGCTGACAAGTCCCTGCTGATGCTGTGACTCGGGGATGAGGGTGAACCCACTGCCTGGCCCTTGAGCTTAGAGTCATTTCAGGAAGATGGTGGCTCTATGGTCCGCAGCGGCCTAAAAACAGTCCCATTTTCCCCCTGCTAACCCTCCACTCCAGATCACCAAGGGGAAGCTTCATGGCTCCATTGACGTCCGACTGTCTGTCATGTCCATCAACAAAAAGGCCCAGCGCATTGATCTTGACACCGAAGATAACATCTACCACCTCAAGGTGACATTCCTGGGAGCCAAGTGGTGGCTTGGGTCCCAGCCTGGCGGAGACACAAGGGCACACCAGAGAGAGGGCCGGCAGCTGAGGGTCTGTCCCTGAGGTCGCCAGCAAGGGCTTTCCCGTTGCGTACAATGGCCAGTGGCAAACTGCCTTCTTGGTTGTTCTGTAAACGGGCACAGAGCTAAGGGCTCAGACTCCTGGGCTCTGCCTCCCCGCAAGGAGGCTTAGCACAAGCTGGGGACCACAGAGGGAGACCACTTGCCTGGGGATCAGAGCCCCGACTTCCTGCCCCAGTGAAGCAGTCCTTCCTTTCACGCTTCCCTCCCCA